GGACTAATCCTTCATTTTAATAACCTATATTAAAGCAAAAAAGGAAAGATTAATTATAAACTAAATTTAATTTTTTCGAAATCTGTAGAATAAATATATATTTATTTTACAACAGATTAAATTCCCTTTTTTTATTGGTTGTTTGGTTCTAATGCCATTTGACACTGGCAAGCCTGTTTGGTGAAACCGAGCAAATTTAAGGCAGAGTAGGCGGTTCTTGTTTTTCAGTGGCGCCATCTATGGCCAAGAATTCGACTTCTGCCACATCATACGTCCCACCAGTTTATAAGGCGGAACCATACATACATCCATTCATTCATCCACGGATCGTAATTTTGACCTGAATCAGAGAACGATCGACCAATCCAGTACCCCCAGAGGTATTGATTTGTTATGGGAACATGGAGGACTTTGCGATTCGACAGAATTTTAACGTTCATCAGTCACCAACTACACGGTGAGTTTTCGGCCGGCGGGGTTCGAACCCACGGTCATGGGCCCAGCGTCCTACCAACCAGGCTACCCCGGCCCCGTTTTATTATATAAATATACAGTAATAAAAAAAAGATATCACCTTGAATACTTTTCTAATGATCGGATTTCACGTACTGAGTACTGCTCTTAATGATTCAAAGGATTGACTTCAAATATGTAATTAGTTATGGTTAACTATTAATTAAAAAACAACAAAAGTATTTTTCATATTAACAGCTAATTGGAAGGATAGTGTTTTTACTCAGTTCCTGAATTCTTAGTTTTTGAGATAATTTCTTATGTATAAATGGAAAACATGATAACTAAAAAATTTTCGGGAATAAAAACCTTTTAAATAATTTGCAAAATTAATTACTTTAATGAATTAAAAATATCAAATAATATTTTTTAGTTAGATTGAAAGAAAACGAATCTAATTTTGTTTGTAAGTTTTTCTTATAGTTTTGATTTTTGTTCAAATAATTTTATAGTTTTTTTTTTTAACTTGGTTATACAAGTTAAATAATTTTTTTTCTTTCATAAACGGATATAACAGATATATTAAAAACAAATATAACAGAATAAAAATTCATTGAAAGTTACAGATATCAGACTTGTTTTCGTATTGAAAATATACTAGTCTGCAATGTTGTCTTTTAGACACGTAAGAGTTTTTTCCCTGCTTACTAAGTAAATTTGTTGAAAAACAACTTTTACAGAAATTCTTAACGCTCTCTGTATATATTTATATATACATATATTTCTATTTTGACGTGTGTAGGCTTTTTTTTCTTAATTATTTTGAATTAATGCATTGCTTATCAATATTTTTTTTTCTGTTTTACTGAAAATAATTTTTGATTTACAGATTAAAGCCATGACAAGTGAAAATTTTAGAATTAACACCTTTTAAACGATTTGCAGAATGCATTTAGTTTTGAGTATGGACGGTAAATAATATTTAGTTAGATTGTAAAAAGTTTCTTAGTTAGTTGTTTTTTTTGTTATTTTTTAACAGTTTTTATTTTTAGTTTACTTACAGAACTTAAATAGTTTTTTGGCCCACAAATATTGTTTTCAATTTAATTACACAATTGAAACATTTTCTCTGTGGTTCACAAGCATTGTTTTTAGTTTAGGTACGCAATTTTTTGTTTTTAAGCAAACAGAGAAAACACTGATTGAAAATAAAATATGTGTAATGCTTCAAACTATATTTCGCATTAAAAATATGCTAGTTTGCAATGTTATCATTTGTTGAGAACTTTTATAAAATCTTCACGCATTGATATATATATAGATTATTTTTTAAAAAAAACTTGCATTTTGCATGAAACTTGCATTGCGTGACTTTAAATAAATTCACTGAAATTAAATTCCAAATAATATTTTTAGACATTCAAATTAATTTACTAGTATATATTTTCAGTAAATGTAGATACATGGAAGTTAGTATTTTAAAAATAATGCCTGTTTAATATCTTTTTAATACGTCAGATACGCCTCGCCATTTGCCCCAGCCTTCTTTGCTTCTTACTTTACTGCAATTAATCTAACTGTTAACCGAAAATAATTTTTATTTATCTAGTTGCGAAAATAGTGCTATATGTACACAGTAAAGCTTATCTAATATACAGTTTTAAAATTACTTTTGAGTAAAAATCGAACATTTTAATGATGTTCCAGTTTGTTGTGTTCCAAAATTGTTGTTGTCCATTGTTCCAATTCATCATTAGTTCTTAATCTTCAATAATTATTAGTTGAGCAGTGGTGGCTCAAGGGCTAGAGCATTTGTCTTCCAATGATTTGAACCAGGTTCGAATCCCAGTGATGGCTGGTTGATACAAATCCCGCACCCGGCTCGCATCGACTACAGTGCTGACGTAAAAATATCCTCAGTGGTAGACGGATAATGGGATAGTGTCCTCTTGACGTCAGGCTAACCGTGGAAAGTGTTCGTGGTTTTTCTCTCCGTGTAACGCAAATGCGATTTCGTTCCATCAAAAAGTCCTCCACGAAGGCAAATTTTTCCTAATACTTGATCCAAGAGTTCCCTTGTCTCCTGGATTGGGTTCAAAATTATAAGGATATGGAATTGAGCATTAGTAGCAGTAAACTGAAAATTCGGTCGGCTGTTTAATGATGGTTATAAAATATATAAAAAAAACGATGTTCAAGGAATTTTTCCACCCTGTTGCCATAATTATTGTGTTAAATTATTTCGTTTGAGTTGACAAAAATGGATCCCACGGCTCCCTGAATTGTCAATTCTTAGGCCCGTTTTAAAAATTGTCATTATATCCGCTGTATTCTACAAAATTAAAGTTTTACTTTAATTTCTAAGACATTTTATTCACTTTTCCTTCCATTATTAGCAAAATTGTTTTATATTTAAAGTTTTAATGTTCGTTTGATTTTTTTATGGTAAGATAAAATTTAGTTTTTCAGTTTCACACAAACACTTCCTCTTTTTAATTAAACCTGTCCAAGTTAATTGACTTGCAGTTTCTTTTTCCCCGGCTATTACTTCTCCAATCTGTTACCACGTTCATAATAACTTTATTTGTTGACTTTTAATTTAGTAGTTTACTTAATATTAAGCTTCTCAACCATTTCTTAAGCTTTATTTCCTTATATAATTTAGCGAAAAACAATTTTAGTGATTTAATGTGTAAATCAGATGAGTGCGTAATTTGTTAACAGTTTTAGGTATCTTATCTTTTTTTCTTTAAACACTTTTGATCATTGGGGAGCATTGTGGAGATTCTAGTTAATGTTTTAATTTTTTTCTTTTATATTCCAAATCAAAAAGTTCACTGATATTTTAAGTTTTATTTGCAAAAAACATTCCAATCGCAGCTGAAATTTTAATAAGTGGGGATTCGAATATTTATTATATTTTTCTTTTTAGAAATTTTTTTCTAAGGCGTCTTTATTTTGAAAATGACCTATATGAATGGCCTTAGCCATGTTATAGGCCAAAGCCAGAGTTTTCTTTCATGTCACGTGATATGATGACAATGACGTCGCCTTGCAGCAAAAATTCAATTTTTTTGCATTATGATATTGCAGCGAAGAAGGATAGTCTTAGTTTTGATAATTGCTTATAATTACAATTTGGCTTTGGTTTTATGAAAAGGACTCTTAAGAGCGGAAGTAGATTTTCAAAAATTTAGATAACATATAAAACTATCATTTCATTTTATATATCTACACTTCGTATATCCAAAAGGGTATAATTCAGTTAAATATTCACACTTTTGTTTAAGTTATTATTAATCTATTATTGGAATTTGATTGTTTTCTTACTATTTTTTATTTTCTCGAATATAACTAGGGATAAAAATTTCTCGTAAATACATTTCTCTTAGAATACCATTTTTATTAGAATATCATTTCGCTTTTTAAAATACTTACTGACGTACAACTCATGCGTATCAAGTCAACAATTGCTTTGAAACTACGCTGTGAGAAATTCCGGATAGAATTATGGTACAAAGGTACCGGCACCCTGAGTGTCATTACTTTTTTTTGTTGCAAAATCCATGTTAACAGTAAAATTTTACGAAACAAAAAACTTGATGTATTGGAATTTTTACAGTAATATTTATAGTAAAATTGCTGAATCATTGCTATTAAATAAATATTACTGTCAAACTTCCGTTATAAAATTTACAGTAAAAAGGAATTTTGAGGTTCAGGGTGCCAGTTTATTTTACCTTATTCCAATCTGGAATATTTTACAATATATTGTTGCTCTATAAATTTATATACATTTGTTAACCAGTAAAATTAAGTTTTCCAAATTATGAAAATTGTGCAGTTTACATTTAATAACAGCTGTGTAAACCAAAAATGTATCCATCTGGATTGAGAATTAAATTTAATTTGAAACTACTTAAATGATAAATAGTAAATTTTACGAAGATAAGGTTAGTTAGATTGAAAAAAAAAACGAGTCTAGTTTTATTTAAGTTAATTTTTTATTACGTTATTGCTTTGACCACAGTTGAAATACTTCATGCCTTTATTTTAGTTTAATACTTTTAGTTATATGAGTGAAATATGTTTTTATACATAAACAGATAGACTAAAAAAAAAAAAAAAAAAAAAAAAAAAAAAAAAAAAAAAAAAANAAAAAAAAAAAAAAAAAAAAAAGGAAGGAAGAAACAGTATGAAAAATCAATTATTAGTATTGTTTAAGCTTAACTTTCACTTTAAGAGTCTGCACAGATATTTGACATGAGATATTGCTTTCCTGCACAGCTACTAGATTTGTTGAGAAACGGTTTTTACAGAATTCATCTTGAAGCGTATTCAAAAGTGAAAAACGAGGAAAACGTATGCAAGCTTTGAACTGGAGGAGTCTGCACAGATATTTGACCTGAGATATTGCTTTCCTGCACAGCTACTAGATTTGTTGAGAAACGGTTTTTACAGAATTCATCTTGAAGCGTATTCAAAAGTGAAAAACGAGGAAAACGTATGCAAGCTTTGAACTGGAGGAGTCTGCACAGATATTTGACATGAGATATTGCTTTCCTGCTCAGCTACTAGATTTGTTGAGAAACGGTTTTTACAGAATTCATCTTGAAGCGTATTCAAAAGTGAAAAACGAGGAAAACTTATGCAAGCTTTGAACTGGAGGAGTCTGCACAGATATTTGACATGAGATATTGCTTTCCTGCACAGCTACTAGATTTTTTGAGAAACGGTTTTTACAGAATTCATCTTGAAGCGTATTCAAAAGTGAAAAACGAGGAAAACTTATGCAAGCTTTGAACTGGAGGAGTCTGCACAGATATTTGACATGAGATATTGCTTTCCTGCACAGCTACTAGTTTTGTTGAGAAACAGTTTTTACAGAAATCTTCTTTAGGCGTATTCGAAAAACGAGGAAAACGTATGCAAGCTTTGAACTGGAGGAGTCTGCACAGATATTTGACATGAGATATTGCCTTCCTGCACAACTACTAGATTTGTTGAGAAACAGTTTTTACAGAATTCTTCTTCAGGCGTATTCAAAAGTGAAGAACGAGGAAAACGTATGCAAGCTTTGAACTGGAGGAGTCTGCACAGATATTTGACGTGAGATATTGCTTTACTGTACAGCTACTAGATTTGTTGAGAAACAGTTTTCACAGAATTCTTCTTTACGCGCATTCAAAAGTGAAAACAACGAAAAACGAACTCCAGCTCTGAGACAAGAGGTTGAGGACGGTGCAATCTAAATTAAGTCCTTATGCCATTAGTTTTAAAGCGCTTTTTATCGCTTTTAAATTATTGTAGACTGAGCAATGACATCAGAGGGCAAGTTTTTGTGAAAATTAACGAAATAAATTTTCGTACTGTATGGTAATAGCATTTCTGGTAAAAACAAACAAACCTGATTCTGGTTAATAAAAAGAATATATACTGTATTTAAATAATTCATTTGATACTTTTTCCGCTCATATAATAATGGTTCACCGGAAATTCTGGTTTTTAATTTTTAATTAATTTAATTTTACTTTATTTAAAATAAACAAATCTTCTTTAAAACAATTAAACCATAGTTTTTTATGGAAAAAGTATTTCCTTTTATGAATGACCGCTGCATCGTACACAGAACTATTATTTTAATTTGAAAATGTTTTTAATCTCTATAAGATACGAATGTTAAGAAGTTTCCTTTACTACCTCATAAATTAAATACGCAATAAAAATATTTTGTAATAGTTTTTGGAATATCTAATTATTAATATCTATTATTATTTTTCACTGGTTATTTAAAAACTACAATATTTTTATAAATATAAAAGAAAAGAAAACTCTTGTTGAGTATATTTAGGGAAATGAATAAGATATCGTGTATGTTCGATTTATCGTGTATGTTCCACCCTGTTTCATTAATAATTAATTAAAATAGTTAAATAAAACATATAAATACTTACAAAATGAATTCTATCATTTTCCTCTCTATGCATCATTAAATATTTAAATATATTAGAGTTATTTTAACACTTCATTTGACTCGAATTAAGCATATAAATATTTATTTTTTAATAGTAATTAATATACAACTTTTTATATTATAAATATTTGAACTACAAATATATAACCTACATTATTTCAGATTATGAATTCCTAAAATGTAAACTTTTAAACAACATTATTTAGTATTATAAAAATTTAAGCGATAAATATTAAACCTACATTATTTTAGATTAGAAATATTTAAACTAGGAATATTTAACTTACATTATTATAAACTTTTAAACTATAAATATTTGACATCAACCATATCGTTACTGAAATTTGAACTCTATAATTTCCTGCTCTGGTATTTATCATTAAAAACTTAAACACATTATTTAGTTATATAACATTCCATTTAAATCAAGTTAAACTTATAAATATTTTTTATTAATAAACTATAATTATTTAACCTACATTATTTTATTTCATAAATAAATTATAGATATTAAACCTACGCGATATTATTTTATAAATATTTAAGCGATAAATATCAAACCTACATTATTTTATGATAGAAATATTAAAACAATAAATTATAACAAACATTACATTACTACAAATATTACTTCCATTATTACAAACATTTAAACAGTAACTATTTGACATTAATTTATTATATTAAAATTGAAACTATAAATTCCGTCATTTACTCCTCTAGTATTCTGCTTTAAAATGTTTAAATATATCACGGAGTTACTATAATATTCCATTTAATTCAAATAACTATAAATATCTGAAATCTTCAGTTGTATATTTGGCGAGAAATCTCTCTTTTTACAACATTTCTATCGCCAAGCTACTAGCATCCTGGCAACCTTTGAATGGAGTGAATTTTGCGGCCGGCGACATCTCTCAGTCAGTGGGAGTAAAGTATTGCGGGACAGAGATCAAGTTGGCGTGTCTTCCAGCGAATTGTCATTGATGCAGAGCCAACAGCCGCCAGAAGGGAAGTCCCTTCCTATGATTAACTCCTTCCTTAATTTATGCCGTGTCTGCCCTGTACCTACGGATGATAAGGTAGGTACACCTGTACTTCATAAATATGAGAAAAAAAATTAGGGGGCTTAGGGATTGTTAGGGGGCGTGGTAAGGGCTTAGGGGTGAGAAGACTGCGCATGGAATCTTTCTTAACACCGAGGAATTTTTCTTGAAAATTTATAAAGACTTGCTTTTTGTACTTGCATAATTGTTCAGCAGTACAGTACTAACTTGAATTATTCAGCCTAAATAATTATTAGGCTTTAAAGTAGATTGATAGAAATTAAAGTTTATACAATTTTCTCATTAAATCCTTATTTTCTAACAGTTATAATGTCCTTATACCGGTGATACCGGTAAAAGTCAAAATATTTTCAATTTATTAATAATATTTAGGTAATCAATGAAAAGGACTAATCAAATTATATTAAAGTAGAAGGTACTAAGAATAAGATAGTTAAAAAAAAGTGGATTTCTAAAAATTTACTAATTTAAAATTGTGCTAGGTACTTTGCTGACAATCAGATACTAAATCTGTGTATGTGCCCTTTAGAATGTGGCTTCATGTTTAGCTGCATAGCATTAACTTGAAAATCATTTAGTCAAACAAATAAATTTGCTTTGTGAAAAGTATTGCTCTCTGAAGTTTTAGCAGAAATAATTATTAGTCTTAAATTGAATCATAACTTTTCCGTTTAATCCTAATTTTTTTCTTAACTATTGGACACTTATCAAAAGCTGATTGTGATGGTGTTATCTTAACCTAATTTTGATTTCGACTTTGCTACTTATAAAAAAATATTAAGAATAATTTTGCTTAAAAAAAATTCTGGCTATAGTACTTTTTTCTATTGAAATTTAGGAGATCAGATTATATCAAGCTCTTGACGCAGAATTTTTGTTAAATTTATTTTTCATATTTTTGCATTAATCTAGGCTAAAATGAATATTATATTTAGCACTTTAATAATTTATGGTTCTGAAATAAATATAAAACATCGGCATCTTTTCTGCGTTAAAGGTAACATCTTTCATGCACGACTTACTTCCAAACGATAATTTTTCAAATTTGCACTTATTCGCATATATTTACATCTAAGAGAAACTGCAATTCATCACTGAAATTTTGTTTAATTTGCAAAATAAATTTTTGATCAGTTTTTGTACATGAATGAATAAAGAATTTTCATTCAGTTACTATCAGGATGTTTCTTAGAATTAAAAAAATNTATATATATATCTGTAAAGTTTAACTGTTTTAGCGTTCTCCCGTTAAACTGTTCTAAGAGCTTGACTTCGCGCGCAGGTCGTTTGGCTATCAAAGCGGTGGTGCTATCCCGTCTGCAGAGGATCAAAATTGTGATGGCATGTTTTCCAAAATGTCGTTAATAGCCCATTGTGCAGATTTAGTGCGACGTAAATAAACAACAGCTGCAAAACTACAACCACTATTTCATGCTCAAGAAAATTATAATTTGTTATAAAAACATTTCATGAAAACTTAAGAAAATGCTTTTAAAGAAATGCATTGAAGAATTAATTTAAAGTTAGTTAAATAAGTTTAAAGTATTTAATCTATTTTTTTGTTACACTAATTAATAGCACTGTTTAGATCTTGAAATACAACACTAGATTACTTTGTTTTAAACTCTTTCACACTGTAAAATATAAGGTATTAAGTGCTGTAATATTATCAAGTTATCGTTCAATTGAAAGGTTTAAAATTAGTTTATACATATTTTTTTTTATTATTGGGAAACTAAGTAAAATTTTTTTTGTCGAATTGCAATGTCTCTGTCAGCAGCATGGCAATTTTGGGGAAGAACTTAAAGGTATTTATAGAAAACTTTAGCAATTGCTTATGTTAATTTTTCTCACTAGAAAATCTCTAAATTTACTTTAAAGCTTTATTGTGAAATCAACTTTAACTTAATTGTTTTCAAAATTTAAATTTAGGGCTGCGTCGCCCTATAATGTCCGGAGATATCAACTTGCGCCGCTTTCTGGGCAAGTTTTGTCCACTGGTAGTTTTCATGTAGGATTCTTGGTTTAGTAAAATTTGAATTAAGTTATTTTCCAACAACTACACGTAAATGTTGATCATGTTTTCATGAAATTTCATTTTTTTCCATTTACTCTTGAGGCACGTTAGAAAGTTTTGACAAAATTAACCGAAATTCAGAAAACCAGTTTCTTGTCCTTAACCATTCTAAAAATAAACAAATTTTGTTCAGTTAAAAAAGTCATTTTTTACAATTCTTAGGCAATGAATTAATTAGTGACTTTTTTTAAACAAAAGTGTTAATAAATGATTATCCGTACATAAGTATTTTTCATTGAAGAATTTATTTAGCAATAAAACGAAAAGTTAATTCTTAATATTGCTTTAAAAATTTAATTTGTTACTTTTTATTTATTTAACTCGATATGGTATCTGTGATTTTATTCCTTGAACTAAAGTTCAATAAGTTCTCCTTTGGTAGTAAGATTACAGATCGGATTCGAATCGACGGTTGAGAAACAATGCTCTAGCTTTAGAGTAGAAACTCATTATATATTTTTATTTACTTGTATGTTTATATGTTATCAATTTTATAAAAAATGATAATATATAAACATATACTACAGCAATGATGCAAGCAAATATAAATTTTTGTCGAGAAAATGTTAATTTGTTAGTATCTTTTTAAAAGTTTATTTCGCTGTATGTAATCATCGTTTGCTATATTTAATAAGGAAGCCTTTTTTATACTAGGAGGAATTTTTCCTTACAATATTAAATGAAAAATTTATCCTTGATATTTTATGAAGGTTATCGATATTGAAATATCCAACAAAAAGTTATAAAAGCTGATATAATAAGTGTTAGTTTTGCCGATAGTCTGTTGGAATATCTATAAATATACAAACTGTCATAGTTTTTCTAGTTCTATGTTTTGAAGTTATTTGTGATTGATTTTAAGCGACTGTAAACGACTGATAAAGTTTTAGTTTCTCATTGTAAAGTTGCTTACTCGAATTTCAATATCGCTTTTTGATCACTGTAATGTTTAATCCCTATAACAATTTAAATCTAAGTAATTTTTGTGATAAGAATGAAATTTTTCTTTCACTTATGTTTAAATGGTAATCAGTGTGATTTTTAATTTTTGTTAATAATGATCTACGTACTCAAAAGTAATATTTATTCTCTCTGGTTTCTTTTAAAACGTTTTATTGCCACTTAAAAAACTAATACAATAATTTTATGCTCATGGTTTATTTTTTTAAAATTAGTATGACTAATTTTCATAATTTGTTTCTTATGCTTAAATTCTGCAATCGACTTTTCCTCATTGAATGTTTGAACATGATAACAATTTAAATCTATGTGATTTTTATTATAAGAATGAAATTTTTCTTTCATTTATGTTATAATGGTACTTTGGGTGGTTTATGATTTTTGTTAATATTAATCTGCGTACCCAAAAGTAATTTTTATTCTTTCTGGCTTATTACAAAACAACATGCAATTGCCACTGGAAAAGCTAATAAAATGAAAAGGATAGTTTTATGCTCATGGTGTATTATTTTTATTACTGTAACTAATTTTCATGATTTGTGTTCTTTTTATACTTGAATTCTACAATCGCCTTTTTATCACTGAAAGTTTGACCATGATAACAATTGAATCCATGCAATTTCTAATGATAAAAGTGTAACTTTCACTTCACTTACTTTAAAATGGTAATCAGGGGGATTTTCAATTTTCGTGAATTAAAAATCACCGTTCTTAATGTCACTACTTCTTATAATTTGTGTATTTTTATATTCGAATTCCATTATCAACTTTCTGTAATTTAGAATTGAAAGTTCCGAAGTCGAAAGTCTAAGTCATATGATAATTATTTAAGTCTATGTGCTTTCTACGACAAAAATAAAATTTTTCTTACACTTAAGGCCGTTTTTGGAAGGTGAATAATGATGTTTTTGATGAAATGACGTTTTTTTGTGTGAATAATATGCTATTATCATAACTCGTGTTAGTTTGCTACCGTTACTCATGATTGTTAGAACCAGCTTAGCCTATCTAAAGCCAGTGTTGTTTATGCGTAGTTTGAAAATGGTGCAGAAAGTCAAGATGGAGTAAAGCCACAGTTTTGTGAAGATGAAAAGCGTTAGTAGTCTAATTTTTTAATATTTAAAAACTTATTCCAATGCTGCATTATCTGAGCTTATAAAAAATTGCAAAATATGAGAATAAGGTAGGGAATTTGATAGTTTTAATATGAGTGGAAAAATGTTGCCAAAGTGGCGATTTTTTAAAAAAAAGTTCAATAATTTTTAAAATATTTATGCTATTTGTCCGATCTAAAGCCCAGATAATTTTTCACGGCAAGACGATATATATATATATATATATAGTTAGAAATAATCACTTTGCTTCAAGTGTTAGGCACTTAAACTGCCGCCGTTTTATTTTCCTTGGCGAGAGAACTTCGAAAAACCTTGTCAATTAAAAATTCTACTCATGAAGATCTTTAATTTTTGTTAATATTCATCTGCTTATTCAACTGTAATTTTCATTCTCCCCGGTTTCTTTTAAAACTTGGTATTTTTATTTGTAAAACTAGCACATGATCATGATATTTTATATTGGTAGCCTGTTTTTTCTTCTTTTCTCATTAATGCTTATATTTTGTGTAATTTTTATAAATAAACTCTACTTTCCTCTTTTTATTATTGGAATGTTTGCTCTTGCTATCAGTTTAAGTCCATGTATTTTTCTCGATCCCTGTTAAATTTTGTTTCACTTAAGTTATGATAGTAATCAACAAGATTTTTACTTTTTTTAATATTAGTCTGCGCATTCAAAAGTAGTTTCAAAAGTTATTTTACCTGGTGACTTTTGAAACATGTCATTGTCATTTGAAAAGCTTACATACTCAGAGAAAAAATATTTGATAAAATTACCGTACTGTGTGGTAAAGAAATTTCTGGTAGAAAAAACCGTACTTCTGGTTATTTTTCTCTTCGAATGCCCACCCGGATATTCGTCA